AGAACGAAATGCTGCCAGGTCCTGTGCCATCCTCACAATCGTTGTTATGCTTGAGCCCACTGTTGCAGCCGCTGTATCAGTCCATCTCATTGAGGGTCTTCCTTTCTTTCGCTGAGCCTCTACTTTACCACGCATGATGTTCTTCTCCAGGGACTTGTCCCTCCTAATAACATGTCCAAAGTACATGAGACAAAGTCTTGCCATCCTCGCTTCTAAGGAGCATTCTGGCTGTACTTTTTCCAAGACAGATTTGTTTGTTCTTCTGGCAGTCCATGGTATATTCAATATTCTTCACCAACACCATAATTCAAAGGCATCAATTCTTCTTCAGTCTTCCTTATTCGTTGTCCAGCTTTTGTATGCGTATGAGGCAATTGAAAATACCATGGCTTGGGTCATGCGCACCTTTGTCCTCAAAGTGACATGTTCGCTTTTTAACATTTTAAAGAGGTCTTTTGCAGCAGATTTGCCCAATGCAATACGTTGTTTGATTTCTTGACTGCTGCTTCCATGAGTGTTGATTGTGGATCCAAGTAAAATGAAATCCTTGACAACTTCAAAAAAGATACAACTTTTAAAAAGATTACAGCCTAGAAAACCCTATGGGGGAGTTCTACTCTGTCACCTGGGGTCAATATGAGTCGAAATCGACTCAGAGGTACCTACCAACAACAACAACAATTTTTGAATGGTCCTTTCTCAGAGAGTTGATACAACTGCTTTATCATAAATTAATTTCCCCTGCACGTGGGTCTGTTGCTAGACTCTACTATGCTCTATTGCTCTACTCAATATCTTTCTGTGCTAGTTCAGGAGGCGAGCTCCCCTGTAGTCTTCTTTTTGAGAACTTTCTTGCACATTTGTCTGTGCATCTACTGCTCCTTCTTCCTCCCCACTCTGTCCCTTTTACACTGGGTGCTTCATTAGCTGTTCACAATCTGCATGATTTTGCATTGCGATGAGTCTGATGTGAGAACATCTGCAGCAGTCAAGAGCATATTTTCCTCAGGACTTGACACTGAGCTTGCCATCGGCATGAAGCAATCTCTCTCTCTCTCTCTCTCATTCCATGACATCTCCCAGCATCACTACTCCAACGTCAGTTATGCCTGAGTCTTGAATGGTGTCAATCTGAGTTGAAAATGTGCCAGCTTTCTTAACAATATCGCTAGCAGACTGCTTAATTAACCTGCTGATACCATCAATAATAGATCTTGCCGGTGTGTGTTAGAAAGGAGACCCATGGCTGGTCTCTCTGGATCTCTCTCTGGATCTCTCTCTCATTTACTTAGGCACTCAGTGTCTGTGTCTCAGGCGCTTGACTTGCAAGGAGTGAGATGGAAAGGACCAGAGAAGGTTTGAAAGGAACAGGGCAGAATTGTCAGGTCTGGGTGAGATCCTGGAGATGAAATCACTGTAGGAGGTTGATGTTCTCACTGCTCAAAGGCAGGGATGGCTCGTGCCTGTGCATTCAGCAGGTTCTTCTTAAAGGGGCAACCCGTGTATACAGTCCACCAAAGTGGTTATAGGGCATGTGTCATCCAAGTAGAGTAGATAGTAAGAACGCAGGTGTTCCAAGGGAGGTGATAGGGGTTGCCATCACTCTGAGGGGGCTTGTAGTTTTCTCTGTCTTTTTTCCATCCAGGCATCTTAGCTGAGAGGAGGGCCTTGTCACCCCAGAAGTGTTTAGGAGGGGCTTTGTAAGGGGAGGGAAACTGGGCTTTCACTTCCTTTCATGCTTCATCTTTTGTCTCGGGTGGTTTTGTGTTTGAATCAAAGTCCTACTCTGTCCTGCTGTCGCTACATTCCATATTTGGAAATTGTGGAGAACGAGTGAGATGCCTCCACAAGGCTGGGACTGGGTGGACCACTACCTCCAAATCACACACTCTTCTCTTTCTCTTTCTGTCTGTTTGTCCCTCCCACCAGTATACACCCCCCCAACACACACACACTTTGGGCTGTCTTTGAGTTGTCATCTATAGCTTAGCACTGTGGATGCATCTCCCTTAAGTCTTTGCCTCCTGGAACTTAGTGTTTTCTTTGAGAACACCCACCCAGACACACACACACACACACACACACACACACACACCCAGACACACACACACACACACACACACGTAATTGGGACTAGAGACATTTCAGCTGTCCCTGGCTTCCCCTGCCCTGGCATGGGTTTGAGTGCACAGGCTGGCACTAGCGTGAGTTCAGCCAGTGCTCAGAGACCCCATGGAGACACTGAGAACAGTCCCTCCTCTTACACCCGATAAGCTAGGCATAGCCGGGGGTGGCAGTGACAGCCTGCGCAGAAGCGAAGGCTCCTGATCGCAAACAGATGCTCGTCCCCTGGACCACATGGCTGTACCCTCGGCTTTCCTGGGATGGTGTTGGTGGTGGTGTGGTGGAGGTGATTCCCCGAGGGCAGAGAATGATGCCTTTCAGGGCAGAAAACCCAAGTATCCTTCCCAGTTGGGTCTCCTGGGAACTGAAGGCTGGGCAGCCCAGGGGTGTGGGGGATGCAGATCATTCCTAACACCACTAGAGGGCATGTCACTAACACAGAGAGGCAGGTGCCGGCTTCCTGAGGCCGCCCTCTGGGGCTCTTCTGGGAGCTAAGCCTTAGGGGGCCCTGGGACTGGCCAGAGCTCACCTCTGGAGGAGGGCAGATGCAGACCGAGACTGGAACCCAAGTCCAGGCTCCCAGCCTCCCCTCTGGACATCCCCTGCTGCTCCAGATTTCCTTTACCTCAGACTCACCTTCCTAATTCAATCAGTCTCTGGCTGTGATTAAGACAGGGGTTCTCAGTCTCAGCACTATTGACGTTTTGGGCTGGACAGTCCTTTATTGTATGGGTGGGGCTGTCCTGTGCATTGTAGGACGTTTAGCAGCATCCCTGGTCTTTACCTGTTAGATGCCAGAAGCATTCCCCCTTCACCAGGTCATGATTATCAAAAAATGCCTCCAAACATTGCCAGAAGTCCCCCTGGGGAAAAATCACCCCCAGTTGAGAGCCACAGTTTAAGACAAGTGAGCGTGCCTGTCACTCACGGGGGCAGCTTTCCCTTCGTCCCTGACACTGGTTAGTTTCTGCCTTTGCTCACCAGGTTCCCAAGGGCCTTCCAATCCCGCAACAGGATGAGGGGCAGATGGACAGCAGAACCCCACCTTCCCCCCTCTGTCTACTGCATCTGAACCCTTGTTGCTTGGGGCAGGGAGAGGAGGGGCACAGGCTTGAGTCCCAGCCGCAGAGGAAGGTCTGCCTGTGGTTACCATTGCCACTGAGTGTCATGTGGCAACGCGAGAGAGATTCAAAGCTGGCATATGTGCTGTAAATACATTTAAAACTATTTGATCTCCTACTTTTCTTCTCTAGAGTCTGCAGAGATCTTGGACTTCCGTTCTGTTTACTTTACCTCCCCACTTTATTGAAACAGGAGACTGAGGCTCAGAGACCCCTAAGGTCTCCAGCCACCCCTCACCTGTAGAACCTGTCCCTCAGCCGTGAGCACCCCGGACCGCTTGCTCCCAGCCCTTGGCTCAGGCACCGGGAGCATCTGTGATCTCCCTCCCACTCCACCTGCCCACTGGGCCCCACCGCCCTCCAGCTTCCCAAATTCTCTCACCCCCACCCCCCGCCACGCGGGAGGGAGTGGAGAAGCAGCAGGTGTTGATGCTAATCAGCGTTCACAGCCCAGAACTGCAGTCGCTCCCAGGCTCACACACTCCCCAAAATTAAACACTCATTATACAAAATTAATTGACATTAATTAGCAAAAATTAAAACTTTAAACACAGCAAGGCGCTTTTGGGGGAGGAGTGAAGCAGGCGGGCTCTGCATTTGTCACCCCACTCCCCACCCATCCACCACCCCCAAGTCCCCCGCTTCCATCCTGCAGCAGGGCTAGAGAAGTTCAGGCAAGATCAGCACCTGCACCAGGCCTAGGCCTGGCCAGAGGGACCCAGTGGCCTCCCCTCCCAGGTAGAATGCCATCCACCTCCCACCTGCTCCCTGACCCCTCTCTCTGTCCAGCCAGCGAGCCCTGGGCGAGGGGAGCAGAAAGAAATTTACAGTGCTAGTCACAAGCTGATAGGATGCCCCCCAAATCTCTAATATCCAGTGTCTCATTAAGGAGCCAGGAACCCTCCCCTCAGCCCAGGCCCCCATTATCTCAGCTGAGGTGGGAGTCATGGCCAAAGAAAGGAACCCAACCATCTGAGGCAAGAATATAGACAGTCTGCCTTTAACTGTCTGACTCCCCACCCTCCCACTCCCCACTGCAATCCTCCCCTTCCCTGGGCACCGAGAGGGTTAGGCACTGTAGCCTTTCAGCTCTGCTCCACTTGGCTGTGTGACCTCAGATAAGTCACTCCCCCTCTCTGAGCCTCAATTTTCCATCCATATGATGAGGGGGTGGTGCTGGGGGAGTGCTGAGGTTCCTGCCTGCTCTGGCACCTGCTGTCAGGGAAGCAAATCTCTGGGAACTGGATTCACTCTGAGGAGCCAGGGGCTGAATGGGGGGAGGGGGCAACATTTAAGAGGATGCTGAGAAAGGCAGCCCAAGGGACTGAACTGCGGATGGTGGAACATCAGGCATCAGTGGGGTGGGAGGGGTGCTATTCAGGCCAGAGAGCCCTCACAGATGGGCCTCCACTTCTCTTGCTAGCCTGCAGAGCCTGCCCTAGAGGGGAAGAAAGCAACAGCCTGGAGAACTAGTCACTCTCTAAGCCCTGAACAGCTTCCCCTTCCTCCCTGACACTGGTTAGTTTCCACCTTTGCTCACCAGGTTCCCAAGGGCCCTCAGATCCCCTCAGCAAGATGAGGGGTAGACAGACAGCAGAGCCCCACCTTCTCCCTTTCTGCCTACTACATCTGCTGAACCCTTGTTGCTTGGGGCAGGGAGGGGCTTGGGGTGAGGGAGGGAGGGACCCTGGCCTCCTATCCCGGGTGGATGCCGTGCTCACCCTCACACCTGCCCCCTGCTCATTCTCTCTCCAGCCAGCGCCAATATCTGCAACGTAGTCCTGATGCGGTATGGGGAGCTAGAGGAAGGGATCGATGTCCTGGATGGTGATGGCAACCTCGTGGGCTCCTCCAAGATCGCAGCCAGACACGTGGGTCGGCCCGGGGGCCCAGGGGCTGGTGGGGAGGTCAGCAACAGGGAGGGGCTTGGTTTCCCTTGACATTTCCATTCCCTGGGGCTTCTGTCCACAGCACCTTTCCTCTGCCCTCTTGATCCCTCCTCCCCGACCCACCATCTTCCATCTGTACGATCCTAGCCTCACCTCCTGGCCCCAGCCCAGCCTGCTCCCCCCTCCACAGTCCCATCTCTACCTGCTCCTCTCCAGCCTCTCCCCTACCACGACTGTGAAAAGCTCCCACCCCTTGTCCCAGCCCCTCAGGACCAGCCTCCCATATCACCTAACCCAGATGGGGTGTTAATTGGCAAGGGCAGAGGAGACCCCCCTCAGAGCTTTCTTCCCCCTCCCCAGGACTAGGGCTGTGTCCGCCTGGACCTTTGAATCCTCTTCAGTGAGAAGAAGAGGCCTGGAGGCAAGCGGTTTGGGGTTCTGTGTTAACAGCCACTCATGGAGGTGATACTGCACCAGGGACAGACTGTGGTGGAGGATTTCAGACTTGTGGGAGGCCCTGGGGGTGGTTTGGGGGAGACTATTCTGTCATACAAAGGCCTTCTTTCACCTCTGGTTTCACTGGCCTTGTCAACTCTAGCAACTGTAATAATAATAATAAAAAAAATCCAGTCCATTCATATATCTCCTCTGCTTCCCCAGCCTTCATCCTAATGGTGATTAGAGGCTGGCCGTGTCCCAGGGCTCTGGCCTCTAGTGCTGGGACATGGAGGGTCAGCTCTGGGGTAGCTGGGCAGCCACCTCTGCTCCAGCCGCTGTCCCTGGTCAGCTTCTGTCAGCGAGGCCTTCCCAATGAGCACTCCCATCTGGGAAGACGCCTCTCATGCTCCCCCATCCTCCCCTTCCCACCTGTGTCAGGGGAGGTGGTGCCCACCCAGGGCTGGTGAGGGGTAAAGGGCTTGAGTGTGCTGGTGCCAACAGTGCATCCTCTGCTTCCTGCACTGGCTCTGGCCCTCCCGTCATGCCCACGCCTGCCCAGGAGGCTGCAGGGGCCCCTCCCAGGCCTTCTGAGGCTGATCATGAAGGGCACAAGCTCCTGGGAGAAATTTCCAGCCCTGAGCCCATCACCAGAGGGATCTGGTGTAAATCTCCTGCTTGACCCCAACCTACACAAAGAGCTTCACTCTTCTACCTGTGAGGGAGGCAGACCATGACTCCTCCTTCTCACGGTGCCAAGCAGCTTCTAAGAGCTTCTGCAGTCCCTGGCTTCCTCTGCCTTGCTCAGTCCATCCTTGTCTGGCTGGCGGAAGATTCCAGGGACTGGTGGGCTCTGAGCCATTCCTGAAGGCTTTTTTTAGGGCCGGGAGCCCTTGGGGTTAGGAGTACTCCCCACAGTGACCATCAGCGTGCAGAATGCCACTTAGCTGCGCAAGGAGCCTGCCCACCCAGGAATCCCACGGGAGCCCCAGGGCAAGGTCCCAGGCAGACCCTGGTTGATCCAGGCAGATGCTTAGCAGAAGCCTTTCCCCCTCACAAAGCCGACCTCTTGCCGCTGAGAAAGACCCTCATCCAGAGCCAGGAGACTGACAATCTTCTGAATCTTAGTCTTTAAGGGGTGTCAAAAAGAAAGAAAAAGAAGTAAATCCGCAAATCTCTGTCCTCCCTCAGCACCATGAGCTCACGTGGCTCAACAGGCCCCAGCTGTTTGTTTTGGTCCTTCCAGCGTCTACTTTGCTTTTAGAGCATCTCAAGGCCTCCATATGCTTCCCCCAGCCCAGGGCATGTACTGGGCAGGTGGACACCTCCCCCAGCATGGCCCCCTTCCTGGGGCAGCCTCTGTGCTGCCACCCCTCCCCCTCACCATGGCTCTTTTTAGATGTGTGGTAAGAGGACAGGGCTGGCTCTTTTCTCTCATGTGGACTACAGCTTCGTGAGCAATTCCATGAATAATTCCATTCAGCCAGATGTGCTTAGCAGTGACACATGCACCTGGGGGGCTCTGGGGCGGGGTGTGCAGCCGGGTGGCAGGAGCCCCACTCACTGCAGCCTCTGCTCGCTCCTCAGGCCCTGCTGGAGACAGCGCTGACGCGTGTGGTCCTCCCCATGCCCATCCTGGTGCTACCCCCGATCGTCATGTCCATGCTGGAGAAGTGAGTTGGGGCAGCGAGCACAGAGGGCTGTGTTAGGGAGAAGGGAGGGGAGGGGAATCGACTGGCCCAGGTCAAAGGACAGGGCGAAGCTGGCACCCTGCCCCGGTTTGTTCAGACTGGTGGGAAGCATCCACCTCCGTTTTCAGACTATCCCAGGCAGTGCTACTTGGAATCATTCCGTGAGTATTTATGGACTTTGAGATGCAGGACACTGTCCTCGGTCTCGGTGATGGGAGGGATATCAGAAGGAACGTGCTGGCCCTGCCCCAGGAGCTGATGATAGTTCTGGTGTGTGTGTGTGTGTGTGTGTGTGTGTGTGTGTGCGCGCGCGCACTTAAGCACTGTATTAGTGAATAGTGCAGGGCCATCTGTGAAGAGAGAATCTGAAGATTGTGGTAGGAAGACTAGATTCGGGGCAGTGCCATCCTTTGAGCCATCCATCATGAGGCAAGTCATCACCTCGCTGAACCTCAGTTTCTCCATCTGTAAAATAAGGATAGGAATAACCTCCCTGCCTGTCTCATAGGGATGGTCTGAGAACACATATTGGTCATGACTGTAAAGAAATATGGGCACATCATAACAATGACAGAGTGATCGTATTTGTTAGTGAGTATGAAATTGAATCTGAAAACAAATGCTGATGGAAGGAGCGACTGAGCAGAGGAGGAGAATGTGGGCAGGCCCTGAGGATTAGGGCAGGTCCAGAAGGAGCAGGGAGGGGGTTCTAGGTGGAGAAGTGAGAGGGATAAAAACCTGGAAGTGGGGGCCGCTGGCTTGTGCAGGTGACAGGGGAGAGGTGATCGCTCCCTCCCTTCTGGGGGCCAGCCTGGGAGGGGCTGCCTCTGGCAGCTGTTGGGATAGGGGCAGGGCAGGGTAAGGACAGAGTGAGAGGCACTCCATCTGTGGTTCTGGGGTTTCTCTGGAAATCCCCACCCCCAGTTTGTTGTTGTTGTTAGCTTCCAGCAAGTCGACCCTGGGCTCATGGCAATACCCTGTGCACAACAGAACTAAATGCTGCCCTGTCCTGCATTATCCTCAGGATCAGTTGCAGGTCAGACTGTTTGGATCCATAGGGTTTTCATTGGCTGATTTTTGGAAGTAGATTGCAAGGCCTTTCTTCCATCCCTAGTTTGTGGTTCCTCTTATTCCTGTGTACTAATGATAATAACAACTAACACTTATTTGCTTTTACTACTTCCCAGTCCTCCCTTCAGTCAGATCTCTGTCCCAGTGCCATCTCCTCAGAGAGGGCCTCCCTGACCGCCCCCGTCCAAGATAACAACTGCCATCACCCCCTCCCCTCACACTGCCTTATTTTTCTTAACAGCACTTACCAGTCTATGAAGTTATTTATCTATTTGCTTATTATCTGTCTGCCCCACTAGAGTGTACTCTATGGAGGCAAGCAGGTTCCTTGTGTTTACTGCCAGGCACGGCGTCTAGCATAGTTTCTGGCACGTAGTAGATTCTCAGGAAGAGTTTGTTGAATGATTGAGTGTTCTCATTTAGCCCTTACAACAATGCCATGAGGTAAGTACTATTTCCCCACTTTACAGGTGAGGTAGAGGGGTTATGTGACCTGCTGAAGGTCATGCACTAGGAGATGGCAGAGCAGGAGTGGCTCAGGAATCTGGCTGCAAAGCTAGGCTCTTGATTCCATACTGGCTGCCTCTTTGGTTTGTCACATCATGTCATCGGCATGTCTTTGGGCCCTGCCCCGCATGGAGACAGGGTGTAACAGACTTGGGGGCCTGATGTTAGGGAGCCTGTATTTTGATAAGGGAGTCTGGCAAGACCCACAGCCAGGCCAGCTGTGGGTGAGATCAGACAGTGTGTGAAAAAGGCCAGGGTGAGCCCAAGGGGAGGGGGCACCATAGGCCCCGCAGCAGGGAGGGCTGGCTTTCAGAGGAGAGGGCTGGAGCCAGTCCTGAGAGCAGGATAGGGAGGGCTTTCTGGGCAGGTGTGGACAGAGAGGAGAACAGCCCAGATGAAGCAAAGCAGGCTCGTTGGGAAGTTGTGGAGTCAGCTGATGAGGGGCCATGTGCCAAGCCGAAGAGATGAGCTCATTCTCACCCTAGGAGAAAGGGGACCCTCTGGGGGTACCTGAGCAGGGGTGTGGCATGTAGAGCGCTGGAATTTACGAAAATTAATGTCATATGGAAGTTTGCAACAGACAAAAATAAACAGAACCTGGGAGGGATCCTTTATGCCCACGACCTGTATATGTGAACTGTCCCCAAATAGCAGTGACTGCAAGTACACACAAGGAGACAGGGCCAGCAAGGGAGGCAGGGCTTCTGTCTTCGAAGCTGCTAAATTCTGAACCTTGGGAACCACATGGTCTGTGATGCCTTCTTGGTCGGCATCTGAGTTGGGTTTGCAGAAAGTGGTGTGATGGTTAATGTCCCATTATTGATTTTGGTATTTAAACTCGGGATTTGGGGGACATTGGAGGTAGGATGGGTATTGTTCTAGTTTTGAACTTCCCTGGCCTAGGATCTGCCTAGAATCTAGGGTGCCATGTGGTCTGGTTAATGGCAAGGCTGCTGCTGAGGACACTGATGGGGAAGACAGCCCCTACTCTGCAGGAGCCCAGGTTGGGTGAAGGAGTCAGGACAGCCAGGGAAAAAAGACAAAAGAACGCTTACAAAGCAGCCTACTTGCAAATTAATGGAGTGCAAACTAAAACTCCTCCCCAAGTACTGAGCGAATGTGCAGCAATGGGGGGACAAGCTGTTGTGTGCCGGGGTGGGGCTGGGGCGCCCTCTCGCCCTCTCCTCTGGCCTCAGTTTATCCTCTCTGCCAGGGGTCCCTGGGTTTCCTCCTAAGATAAGAGAGAGGTGGGAACTCAGCCTGTCAGCTGTCCTTGAGTCTGAGACTCTGAGAGGAAAGATTCTCAAGTCAGATGCAGTGGAGCCTCCGCCCCCAGCCCAGAGCTCTGGCCCCGCCCTGCGAGGGATGCACACACCCTCACAACACACATACTCACACAGTCACACACGCACTCACACATAGATGTAACAGGCCTTTGCTCTCAACCACGCCCTCCCCCGCGGGCTGCATGGTACTCACACTCCACGCTTCACACACTTCCTCCAGCACATTCTTCATTGGAGCAGGGAGGAGCAGGTTGTAGACCCAAGGCTGGGAGAGAGAGCAAGACCCGAGAGCAGCTCCCCCCACCCTACCTCCCCATGCAGTCCTCCAGCCTGGAGGCAGGTGCCTGTGCTGGACCAGAGGGTCTCAGTTCACCCCGCAGCCCTGTGTCCCCTGGCCAGGCAGGCCATTGGCCTGTGGGCAGCACAGGCTGGGCCCAGGGGCTGACACACCCTCTGCCCCAGGTTCCTGAGGCCTCTCTCCCAGCCACCCTCATTCCCCAGGATCCGGGTCTTTCCTTTCTCCCAGGCATTCTCATCCCTCCATCTGCATATTTTAACTCCCCCAGCTGCTTTTCCAAACCCTTCCTGCCATTTCCCTCTCCTTCTCCCCTCCCCCATCCTGCTGTGTTCACTCCAGCCTGCTCTGGGCTGGGACTTTAGGCTCCTGCTAGGCCTGAGCCTCGTGCCTGCCTCCTTCCAGAGCGAGGAGCACAGGCCCCCTTCCCAGTAGGGAATTCAGTCCAGCCACCCCCTCCCCAGGGGAACTAAGGTCACAGTGCTCCACCAGGAGGTCTCAAGGGCTGAGCCCACGCCTGCCCTCACCTTGCAAGAAGAGACCTTCAGGCTTTCTCCCTGTCACCCTGCCCTGCCCTGCCCTTGGTGATCCTCAGGGCTGTGCCTCCTGGGACATCATACCCTCTTAATCCTCCTTTCCCAATTCTGGAGCCTGGTGGCACAGCGGTTAAGAGCTCAGCTGCTAACAAAAAGATTGGCAGTTCGAATCCACCTGCCGCTCCTTGGAAACCCTATGGGGCACTTCTCCTCTGTCCTATAGGGTCACTATGAGTCGGAATCGACTCAACGGCAACGGGTTTGATTTTTGGTTTTTGTCCCAGTTCTTCCTGCCCTGATCCCCCTCAGAGACTGAGGCCTGGGTCCCTGTTACTGGGACAGTGGGGCAGCCTCACCTCCCACGGCCTCCTCATAGCCGGGGCTCCCTGTGTGATGGGTTTGGAGAATGAGCCCGTGCATTCCACCCTTGATCTGCTTAAAAAGTTGGTCAGAGTTGAAAACTCCATGACCGGTTTGGAAGCCCACGAGGCCTTGGGCTGAGTCTTTGTATGGTGCAGGGCTAGAATGGAGGAGAAGGAGGGGAGGAGGCACTGGACCGAGGCAAGGAGGGATCAGATGGACTTGAGCTTCTCTTAGCCTGTGGAAACTCCCCTTCCAATCTCAGGCTTAATTCAGCAGCTGGACAGATCTTGGGGTCTGGGCCAGGGGGAAGGCTGGAGGAGAGCCCAGGCACCTGGATCCTCCCTCCTGCCCCCATGGAACAGGGCAATAACAACAGTAATAATAACACACAATTTCTGAGCACTACTGTGTGCTAGGCCTAAGCTAACCTTTTTACTTGCGGAGAATTTACAATTAATTGAATCTTTATTGATTGCCTAACAGGAACATTCTGGAGTAGGGTTTCTCAAAAGAGTGTTCCTGGGATCAGCTGTCTTAGACTTATGAAAGGCTATTTAAAATGCAGATTCACAGGTCTAGTACTACCTGAGTCAGGACCTCATGGGGGCCAAAAGTCCTTGGGAGTCTGCATTTTTCACCAGCTGCTCAGATCATCCCGATTTGCACACTGAAGTTTGAGAACTGCTGCCTCTTTTTGCCGCCTGCTCAGGGCCAGGTGCTTTTGGGATTCTTGTCCCAGGAGGTGAGGATGGTGCAGGATTTGCCTGCCCCTCACACTGAGGCCCTGCCTGTGGCCATAGCCAGCCCTGCTGTTCTTCACAGCAGGAGCCGGTCAGGTGGAGAGTAACAGTTACCCTGTCAGATTTAGTGTCCACGTAACCTCTCCTGGCAACTAGTCCAGCCATCCATCCTGAGGGCACATCCCATCCCAGGCTTCCCCAAGTGGACTGTTTGGTGGTTCCCTCTGAAGGGCCTGCTGGACTGTGCCAGACATAAAGCTGTAATGAACAACATGGTGAAGGTAGGGTGCCAGCTGGTGTGAACCCCCTGCCCCGACCTGGGGAGCCCATTTTGTCACAGAGCTGGAGGACCCAGGCCCCTTCTCCTGCCCAGGAATCCCACCTTTGAAGCCATGGGGAGTGGGTGCCAGCTGTGAGCATGCTGTTGATGAGGCTGGCAAAAGATGCTAAAGGCAGGAGCTAGGACAGCTCAGGTGACAGCACATCAGGAGTCAGGAGTCCAGGCAGCAGATCTGCCTCCTGGCCTGGGCAGATCACTGCCCCTCTCTGTGGCTCTTGAATCGAGGTTGACAAGATGGCCAGTGGGGCATCATCCTTTCCTACACAGAGAAGAGCATCACCCTTCCTGGATGTGTGTGTGCACGTTGTATGTGTGTGTGTGTGCACATGCATACATGTGTGTGCGGTGTGTGTGTGTGTGGGGTCTGTCTCCTCCCCTGGACTTGGCATCGACTCTGGTTTGTTTGCTATTTAATTATGTACTGCCTTCGACAGCAGCCTTACTCTCCTGTATGTCTCCCCAGGAGCAGGGGCCTCACCTGTCACCTCCCCCTTGTGCGGCCCTCCTGCACAGGGAAGGACACATGGTGGGTGGGCGGGTGCCCCACAAGTGCTTATTCATGATTTGAGTAGGTATGAGTTCAACCAACAATGTTCTTTGAGGCAGGGCTGGGGAGAGAGGTTCCAGTTGTTACAAAGTTCCACCACAGCTATTTAGCTACAGGCTAGCACTAGCCTCAGGACCATGCTGCCTTGGCGCTGAGCCTCTGAGTGGGATCCAGCGTGGCGGCGAGCAGCCAGTCCACCCCATCTCTGAGTCTCATAAGGCTCCCTCCTTCTCTTCCCCAACAGGACAGCTCTCCTGCAGGCACGCCCCCGGCTGCTCCTCCCTGTGCAAAGCCTCGTGTGCCTGGCAGCCTTCGGCCTGGCCCTGCCGCTGGCCATCAGCCTCTTCCCGCAGATGTCAGAGGTCAGTGGTGGGGGAGGGGTTCATGGGCAGGACAGGCAGGGGCATTGGAGGGTCTAACATTGGGTCATTTATTACCAGTTAACAGTTGCCATTGAGGGTCTCCAACACATGGCAACCAAACTCCATGTGTGTCAGAGTAGAATGGTGCTGCATGAGGTTTTCAATGGCTGATTTTTCAGAAGTAGATCACCTGACCTTTCCTCTGAAAAGGTAGGCTCAAACCACCAACCTTTCATTAGCAGCAGAGCGCATTACCTATTTATACCACCCAGGGTAATTTATTAACAAATACGTGTTCAATGCTGACTGCCTACCTAGCACTGTGCTAGTTATTGGGACTATAGCCATGAATGAGACAGACCCAGGCTCTGATCTCTCAGAGCTGAGGGTCCAGCAATGAACACAATGATAAACCAGGGAAAAGCAAATGAAGTGTGAGACTGTTAGGATGGGATAAGTTCAGCGGGATGTGGGAGAAGACAGCAAGGGGACCAAACCCAGTCTAGACGGAAGCAGCACTTCATCTGGGGCCTGGAGGATGGGCTGGAGTTGGCCAGGTGAAAAGGGTCCTGGGGGAGACACATAGGCCAGGAATCACCAGGTGTGAAGATTCTATGGTGAGGTGGTGCACGGTACATTCTAAGAACTGACCAAAGTCTGCAGTGCAAGAAGGGAGAGGAGCAAGATGAGGTGGGCTGGGGGCCAGGAGGTGGGGGTTGGGACCTTGGAAGCCAAAGCAAAGAGGATAAAGGCCATTATAAGGGCAGGACCACAGATTTCTTTTTTTTTTTTTAATTTTTTTTAATTGTTGTAGTTTAAATGAAGTTTACGTTTCAGGTTAGTCTCCCGTACAAAGATTTATACATACACTGTTACGTGACTCTAATTGCTCTTGCCATACTGTGACAGCACACTCCTCCTTTCCACCCCTGATTCCCCATGTCCATTCAACCAGCTCTTAACCCTCTCTGCCTTCCTGTCTCAATCTCCGGACAGAAGCTGCCCATTTAGTCTCTTGTATCTACTTGAGCTAAGAGACACACTCCTCACGAGTATCACTTTATATCCCACAGTCCAGTCCAATCCCTGTCTGAAGAGTTGGCCTTGGAAATAGTTTTATTTCTAGGCTGATAGAGAATCCAGAGGCCATGCTTTCCGGGGTTCCTCCAGTCTCAGTCAGACCATTAAGTCTGGTCTTCTTCTAGAATTTGAGTTCTGCACTCCACCTTTCTGCTGCTCCATCAGGGACTTTTTGTTGTGTTCCCTGTCAGGGCGATCACTGGTGGTAGCTGGGCACCATCTAGTTCTTCTGGTCTCAGGCTGAAGAAATTTCTGGTTATGTGGCCCTTTCTATCTCTTGGGCTAATACTTTCCTTGTGTCTTTGGTGTTCTTCATTCTCCTTTACTCCAGGTGGTTGATGCATCTTAGATGGCCGCTTGCAAGCTTTTAAGACCCCAGACGCCGCTCACCAAAGTAGGATGCAGAACATTTTATTAATAAGCTTTGTTATGCCAGTTGACCTAGATGTCCCCTGAAGACATGGTCCCCAGACCCCTACCTCTGCTACTCTGTCTCTCAAAGTGTTTTACTGTATTCAGAAAACTTCTTAGCTTCGGTTTAGTCCAGTTGTGCTGACTTCCCCTGTAGTGTGTGCTAGGACCACAGATTTCTGATTCTGAGTGGTCCCCATGGCCGCACGGAGGAGGCTGGGCTGGAGCTCTGGAGCAGAAGGAAGCATCCGGAGGCTATGGCAGGCGTCCAGCGAAAGATGGTGGTGGCTTGGACCAGGCTGTTGGCAGTGGGGATGGAGAGAAGTGGGCCGTTTGAGTTAGGAGGCAGCTTCATGGGGATTTGGTGAAGAACTGAATGTGGTGGGGAGGGACAGGGAGCTGGCAGGAGAGTGCCGGCTTTCTGATTTTGAACAACCAGGCAGATGTAGGCACTACTTAACAAGATGGAGACCCTGGAGGAGGGACAGGTTTGAGGGAGGACAGCATGCTATGTTAGATGGGGAGCGTGCAGTGCCCGTGGAATATCCAAGTGGTGGTGTCCTGGGGGAAGCTGGCACTGGGTCTGGAGCCCAGGAGAGAGGCCTGGGCTAGAGGGACAGAAGCAGAGGCCATCAGCATTGAAACAGTCATGGAAGTGAGGGCAGTAGGTGGGATCAGCCAGGGGGAGTGTGGAGAGAAGAAATCTGGGCAGGGTCCATGGAAGAGTGGCCAGGGAGATTAAGGGTCACAGGGGAGATGAACAGTCCACAGGGTCAGGTGCTCATCCAGGGTCAAGCTTCGTGAAGCCTGAAAAGTGTCCACTGGCGTCTCAGGTCATGGAGGCAAGCCCTGTCCCCCAGGAACGGCCCAGGCAGATGAGGGGTGAGGAAATGGGTCCGACAGAACCGACAACCCCGTCAGGAAGCCTGGCACCAAGGGAGAGCAGAAACAGGCTAGCAGCTGGAATGAGATGTGGGATCAAGAGATGATCTTCTTTTCCCCCCCTCCCCTTTGTTAAATGGGAAATGCTGGACTTGTACACCTGCCAAAGGGAAGGCGGCAGGAGAGAGGCTGAGGATGTTGGGAAGGGTGGCAGGGAGAACAGAGCCCGTGAAGAGGGGCAGGGACCAGAGCACAGGTGAAGGGATTGGCCTGGCAGGGGAAAGCCCCCTCCCCACTTTTGCAAGAGGCAGAGCAGATGCAGCCTGGAGTTGGGGAAGTTGAAGAAGTTGTTCTGACGGCTTCTGTGTTCTCTGTGACCTAGCAGAGAGGAAGCCGGGAAGTGGGGAAGTGGGGAGCAGAGGTCTGAGGAGTACAGAGAAGCTTTGAGACATTCAGAGAGAGAATGAGATAGGATTAATCAGGGAAGCCTGGTAGGTGATGCGAGGGGTCAGCAAGGGGATGGCTGAGGGTGGGGAGAACACTGGTCTAGGAGGAGGGGTGGGTCAGGGTCCAACTCAGGGGAAAGGATGCTGGGTTCACTCAGGCTGGGGTTTCTCCAGCTGGGTGGGGCCTTCAGGATATGGTAAGAGGTGGGAGGAGCAATGGATCGTGGAATCTAAATTGGATTAGGAATGAAGATGAGTGGGCAGGCTGAGAGGGAGAAGCAGTGTTTGACAGAGAGGCAGACCCAAGGGGGTCAAAGAATAAATGTTGTATTTGGAGTAGCTGAGCACATGAGAAGACCAGGAAGAGGGAGGGGGCTTTTTAATTTGTGATTTCTGGACTGACCTTACTTCAGGTAGGGCCTCAAAAGGGGTGATAGGAGGATCAACGGTTACTAGAAGGAGGTGGACTAACCAACCAACCAACCAGTTGCAGTCAACTAATGGCGACCCCATGTGTGTCACAGTAGAACAGTGCTCCGTAGAATTTTCAATGGCTGATTTTTTTGGAAGTAGATTGCCAGGCCTTTCTTCCCGTGCACCTCCAACATTTTGATTAGCAGTTGAGTGCATTAACCATTTGTACCACCCATGGACTCCAAGAGAAATAGAAGAAGGTGAAAGTAAGGGCCTAGCCTGGGGAGTTACAGCCTCCTGTGAGGCCTGGAGAACCTGGGGCTCACAGTGGGAGGTGTGACTCAGTCTCCTGACCCTGAGGTCCTTGGAGGGTGGGAACTGGAGTTACTTCCCCCTACTAGCCCCAGAGTTCAAGGAGGAGACTATGACAGAGGTGGGACTCCTGTCTTGGGGGCCAAGGCACACAGGGATGGGAAGCCTGCTGTGTGATATGTTCCTGTAGTTCCCTCATGCCCACAAGGCCCAGCCTTGGCATGAAGCCAGGTCTCCCATCCCCTAGGGGAAAGCTGAACAGCAGCTACCTGATACAGCCTGGGAACTCCACACAGAGCTGAGGGCTCCAGGTGGCCTACAAGTTCTAAAGATGGTCAAGTTCTCAGTGGTCCTGGAATTCTCATCCCCAAAGGCTGGACCCTGCACTTCCTGAAGCCACTGCATCTGTCTGTGTGATCAGGCTGAGTCCTTGTTTCTAGGCAAGGGTCAGAGTCACCGACCTGTGTGCATGTAGGCACCACTGTGTTCAGAAGCTACAGATAGCTCTCAGCTACCTACCTGCATGGGAGAAGGGACCCACAGCAGAGAAAACCCCATGCCACAGAATCAGGGACCACCCCAGCTGTAAAGATTCTCAGCGTCGTCTGGTTTACCCCCCTCCTGGCTCAGATGGGGAAATGGAAGCCCAGAGCAACCAAGGGACCAGCCCAATGTCACAGAAGCCAGGTGCTGATCTGGGAAGAAACCTGGATAGCCACACTTCTGGTCCAGAACGCTTAGGAAATGGGGCCTCTGATTTTCCTATGGTCAATTTTCTCTCCTCATTCAACCACCTTGCCAACCCTGGGGCAGTGGAGAGAGGGAGGCAGCTCGAGGCAGCCCCATATGATGCTATGGGTCTTATGTGGGTGTTCCTCTGGGTCAGATAATGAAGAGATGCTCATTGACCCACCCATGCCTCGAGCTCTACTGCAGAGATGGTTTGAAGTGAGCAGACCCACCTCCCCAAGCCCAGGCTTCTCTTGTCCCCCGGGCCTGCCAAAGAGGCATGACAGTTCTTCTGGGTGTCTAACCAAAATCCCTCTTATTGCAAACAAACCCTCTTCCTCTAGTGTTGGAAAGAGTGCAGTACGTAAGTCTTTGTCAGCTTGAACAGGAAGGTAGGGGCAAGATTTTCAGAGCTCCCTTCTCAGCTGTATCAACTCTGACAGGATGCCAGCCAGCCAGGGCATTATGGAGTGTTTTGAGGCCTGTCTGTGACCTATGGCACCAAGGCCATCAGCCACTTGGCTGAGAGGACCTCATTCCCCCCAGTCATCCTCCCAATTAATTCTCTCTAACGAGGCGCTTCTTCTGCTGTATGGGGATCATGTCTCACATCCTAGAAGCCAGTGGGATTTGCCACAATGAGTCTGGGCTTGCTTGGGCTGACCCAACCTTGCCAAAAGCCACCAAAATTGTTAACAGGGCATTCACTGGAACACTAATTAATTA